TGTATCTGACAGACACCTGATACGATCCAATGGAAGTCAGACAGTCTGGACGTGAGTGAAGGAGTAAAAGCTGGTGACCGGCGTCCTGATTCACTAACCTGCAGCATATGTGATGCGGAAGTGTACGCATCTAATTAAAGAGGAAGAGAAACCCGATTCCTCACCACTTAATTTCATGAATTATTTAAAGCTGCACTTCAAGGACATTGACATATTCTAATAAGACACATGAGTGGCTCCTTCAGGCAAAGTCTGCGACATGACTCACTTCCTGGATAAATCGTTAACTTCCTGTATCGAGTATGGGACGCAATAAACATATGGGTTGTTACGTAAGGAAAGAGATCTGGAACACATTCACACAGGGGGATAACCCAGAAAACACTAACTCTGTGTGTGTGTGTGTGTGTGTGTTTGCTGAATCATCCAACAATGTGCTACTGAAGTGAGCCATCTGTACGCTGTCAGGCGCGTTAATCGTCAAAAACACAGATGCCAGCGCACGTCTAATAATCTCACTGAAGAGCCATGAAGAGGCAAGCACACTTCTAAAGAGCAAGTCGACTTTTGAGTTACATCATCTTTTCCAGTTATAAATCAAAATGACACCAAAAAAAAACAAAACAAAACGTCCCAGAAACACCTTCCCTCTGTTCAGGCCCCAGACACCATTTCTTTCTTCTTCTGCCTGGAAAAAAAAAGAAAAAAAAAAAAAGGATAAAGAAGCATTTCATAGCTCTGGAGGGGGATTAGGAACTTGCTAACGACAGCATTAGCCTTACAGGCTGAGGCAGGTACTGGTTGGCAACCTGCTAGCTGATTACCACAAACACACACACACACACACACACACACGCAGCTACCTAAACTATTAGAGCCTTTCAGATGCTTTGAAGTTCAAGTCCACCACACGCTCCAAGTAATTACGATGTTGCCCCGGCAATTAATCGAGCTGGGAAAACACCGACACGAAGCTGCCGTTTGATGTTCAAAGAGACGAAATCTGTGATTTAATAAGCAGACGAAAAGGTGCGACTGACGTCCAGAGATCATCAAGTGAAAATCGATGAAACCTAAAGTAAAAAGGAGTTTCCTTAAGGGCCCCTCTTCATCGGCTGGATGTAGTATTTTGCCATAAAATCTCAGCAGAAAAGAAATCACGTTAGCAAGTGTATGAACAAATATCTGCAGGTTACGGCCACACCCATAACCAGCTGAGCACAGATACAATACATGCATGATCATAGGACAGGTACATGTGAGTAAATGCTCCACTATGTTCACCACTAGCCGCTAACTTACTGCAGGTAGTGCCTTTTAGTCTTGGTATTTATTGCACATGCCCGGCTCCCCTGCTGCGGAGTGGAAAATCTCATTGTTGGTGTTATCAGCTCCACCTGAGCTTCTCTGACTTTAAGTCCAAATGTCTGCTGTGGAAACACACTCACTCAAGCAAATAAGACACACAGCGTACTGGGAGATTAGGGAGCTCTGTGAGCTAAAGGGTGACAGGAAGCGGATCACCTTGTGTGTGTGTGTGTGTGTGTGTATAAACTAAGGGATCAGTGACAGAGCACTTTCACGTGCCACAGCTGACCTCAGCAGAGGCTCTGAACTGCTGACTCTGCCTCCGATCAGACCCTGACTCAGGATTAAAAGATCTTCGCCGCAGCAAAAACAAGCATTGATCGTAGTTCTGTGGTATCACATGATGAGACTGTGCCGCCAAATGAAGGAGTGACGAGATCAATGGAGGAAAGGAAGGGAAACAAAAGAATAAACCGGTGAACAGTCGACTGCAGATCAATGGGACTAAAGGTGAAACCCAGCTGGCAAACAAAACAACAGAGCTCTGCAAATAATGAATGAAGCCTGAGCTTTCTAAGAAGACACAATAGCAGGTAGTTTCCACTCAAACACACACACACACACACCTTTCTGTAGCCGTGTGTGTTTGGCAACTTTACTAATCAAGGACACAAGACAAATGAAATCTTATTGATGAGACTCTATGGCACCCAAGAACCAGAGTGCATGATGGGATATACTGACAGATATAGTTTTATTATCTATGAGAGAGAGAACACGAGACTCCTGGGTCAAAGTGTGAATGCACAACAACAAGCCGGGGCAGAGCGAGGGAAGAGAAACGTGATATGGGAACAAGCTTTTGTCCCCTCTCTCTCTCTTCCACTGATCCAGTTCACATGACCTTTCAGGTTGTCTTTCCAACACACACACACACACACACATACACAAAGAAAAAGCACCTGCCCCCGAGTTTAAAATCCCTGAAAACCAATGAGATCGAATGCAGTCAACACATCTGCCTTGTATTAACCTGTGGCAACCAAAATAAGTATACCCTATATTGACAAAAATGTCAGAGTCTGTGTTGTGCTGCCTGCAGGTGACACACTGTTGCAGGCTTTCTCTTGGCCTAATCCCCTCAGACGTGAGGTCTTCATTCATAAATCCACTATACCATGCAGTGTAGGTATTAACAAAAGAAGCTCACGTGATCATGAGCCACTGGTCTGTATGTGCTGTGAGAAGCATGCGATGGGCATTAAAGTGCATGGGAGTGGAGGTGAAGGATGAATGCACGCGAGAATAAAAGCAGGGACGACACGTGCATGGTTGTGTAGCAGGTGTGAGCATCTTTGGAAAGAGGAGGGGGGGCGGGGGGTCTGCATCCTTACCTCAGGGCGACGCGCACCGAGCTCTCATCCGGCCCGCCGCTCATGGTGTCGCCGGGTGGATCGTCCGATCGCTCCGCTTATAAATAGCTTGATTTTCCCTTTTTCTTTATCCTCTTACGAGACAAGAGGAGCGCCGTGGTCCGCCCTCTTCTCCCTCCTTCCCCGGGAAAGCGCTTCTATGTTGAGCTCTCACCGCCTCCTCCGCGCCATGTTTTATGAGATGGAGCAGCTAATTGTGGTCAGGTTGTTTTTTTTTGTGTTCCATATTTGCTGGGGAAATGTGCTTCGGGATCCGCCGGCGGTCACCTCTCCAGAGGCATCGTCTCTGCCGCTGTACCCGGGGCAGAGAGCTGGGATCCACTTGGCGTGCGGCTCTCGAGACGGAGGACGTAACCAAACTCCTCCCCCTTATCCTGAGCTATACCAATCCAATGGAGGGGGGGGCAACCTGACTCACTACTCAAGGGAATAAACGATAATAATAGCAATAGACATGGATGGATACTATTTTATTTTTATTTTTTCTGTGAGGGAAATATATTCTTTAATCAACTTAATGTTTTCAACTTCACACCTTTTTTAATTTTTTTTTCAGGCATTTCATTTTTGGTCAGTTCTTTGTTTTGCAGTTTTTTGTATTCGTTATTTAATTTAATCTATTTTTAAAATTTAACATCAGATCTTTCAAGGACAATATGCAGCCTGTTCCTTTAATAATTATATCCGGTCTACTGCCACAGATTACAATTTGGAGCCATAAAAAATAAATTAAAAAAATCAGGCCATTCAATTCAATTTGAATGTCCTTCTGATATTTCCAATTGAAATGACAAGATGACGCACTGAAGGTGTATGCAAATAGAGGAACGTGGCTGCCACCTTGTGGTCAATTCTTGTTATTGCACTTTAGGGCTCATTGATGTAACGTGTCTTCTTCACCAGCAGATGGCTTCACTTACTAAATTGCTGTGTCACAATTTAATACTACATACTATTTGTATGCAGTATACTACTGTTTTTAAGCGTTAGTATGCAAAAAAATAAGTAAAAATGGATGTTAAACATTCATATGTGATAAAAGCCTCTAGCTACTCTGAGCACATCATCATTTATTTGAAGGGACTGAAACCTAAAATGGTGTAAATTCTGATGGTGAACAAACGCACAAGGCCCATTTCTTTCGAGGTTGCACTGTATTGTTTTTATTAACAAGAAAATACATCTTCATCTTTCAACATAAAGTGACCTTAGCACATGATTTCTTTTTTTTTTTATACAGATCACCTTTATGCCGATGTACCTCTCTTGGTTCTAAGGTTAAAGAATACGGATTCCTACACATGCACAATGAGATCCAAAGAAAGGAAGTTCCAGAAGTTAAAAATATAAAATAGTTATATGTCTGGGAGTTTTGATTGCGAACTGTAATTCTGTAAGTAATTACAAAGTGTAGTAATCCCCGGTTTTGAGAACTACTGTACTCGTGGTCACATTTTCCTTCTTATTATCCCAGTTCATACACCACATGTACAGTAAATCCCAATTCACACGCCACCACGTGGTTCTGATAAAATAATGTCACATGCACCGTCAACACAATTATAAAAATGATCAATTATCGAACCAGAGGGGAACCTGTATGACCCGGCCACATGTATTCATTGTCTTCATAACCGCCATAAGAGATGCTTTATCATACATAATGGATACATTCAATTGATTACTTACAAAAGGGAATCTAGGAGGGGAACCTTTCAGTATCAAAGTTGTGTCAGTTAGGGTGTCGTTACAGTACACTGCGGGGTATAGCCACTGAAGGCCTAACTTCACTGCCGAGGAAGCTATCTGAACTGCTTCCTGAACGGGGTAAGAAATAATGAGGTGCCATGTTAAAAGATCTTTATCTTGTAGTTAGCCCAGAACCACCTTCAGACATGAAAAACTACTATGTTTTGGGAATATTGTACCTGCAATAACTATTTTTAGCCACCTGGGGGCAGCAGAAACTAGCTTTACAGTAACAAGCTAGCATAAGCTGAATGCTAACTAGCTGATATTGCTAACTTGTTAGCAAACAATGGCCTGTCTTATGTGCAGCCTACGCTATCCACGCATCCAGCAGACAAAGAGCAACATTAGCGTTCCTTTTGAAGTCGTGTAAATCCAATATCCAATACGCTTTTAGCTCATATTTGTTGACCAACCAACTCATGAGGCAAATATCTGGCTATTTAGCTTCTAGCTACATGTTCGACTCGCCCCATGTTCACTAGTTTTCTAACTTTGTCTGTTTGGTGTGCTAAGCAGGTACAGTACCGAGCTTGAATAATCATTAGAGAGAACAAGCAGTAACCAAATATCCTTATTGCGTAACTCAAACCAGAAGAAAATAGATAAAAAAAAAAACAACACAATTTTGGCAGAAAAAAAAAATAAAGATCTAAGCTATACCGAAGCATGAAGTATGCTGGGAAAATGGCACCTCGTCATTCATTATCCCATCCTCAAGACAAACTAGTTATATTTCTGACTCTTTTCTTTAACTATTAAAGCTACGGTCGTGCCTATGGATGTCAGACACCGTCTGCTCTTGAGCTGACCTCACTAGACAGACTCGTGTGTCATTCAGCGGCTCGTCTGGCCTCCTGTCAACCGAGTCTGACTGACTAGGACAACTTATGTCAGGTCACAAACTCCAGTGCTGAACGCTGTTGAAAAAGGCCTGCCAGTGTGACGCTCTCTTGCGAGGCGAAATAAAAGCAAAAATATAATATTTTTGCAGTCCAGATTATAATACAAGACCATCAGAGAGCATTCCAGTTATTATTACCCCTTAAGATATTAAAGGTGCGTTAAAATTTATATTTCTAATTAGTTACTTTTTCAGTCACATTTTGGTGGGGGGGAATAAAATCTATATTTGTCCTTCTCTAACCTAGCAGCCGTCATCCTGAGCAGAGCAGGGCTGCTTCCAAATGGACACGAGTCCTTCTTCTTGAACTGTACACTAAAAGCCAAAAAAGGGGGAGGTTGCAAACATCTCAATGGGGGCACAAAGATGTTGCACTTTGGATGCAGCCCCAGCTCAGACTAATAACAAAAAGGCCTGAGGGAGACGTGTGCACTCGACTATTTACATCACGGGTTCCACAACAAAGCAGTTGGCGCAGGTGTATTTACCTGAAACCGGTACTCATTTACTCATCTCTCTGCAGACAATAACAAAGGCAAAGGCGTGGTTTCAAACACAGCAGAGCACTTGTTTGCACTCTGCGGATGATGTGACTGATTGTCCGTTCTATGTTCTATATCAACCAAACAAGAGGCGTAATAACAAAATAGTGGTGTTCCCAAAAAAAACTACAAATAAAAAGCGAAATGACTTCGATATTACACCGTGGCAGTCGCTCAAGCTTCAGATTGAGTCCTGCGTGTGGTGCAAATACATTCAGATTCCACCATAGTCATGGTCCAAAAGTGCTTACACACATTTAATTTTTTGGGGTGCTTTTTGCTTTTAAAATGCAGTGATAATTTGTATTTCTTGGTATCTTTAGGCCCAGTTCAATGCACAGAACCTTAGAAATTAAACTCCATAAACCATAATCCTCTCTTCTGTTTCCCTCAGTACAATCTGGCAAAACACACACGCACACGCACACACACACACACGTCTGTGAAAGCAGCCACAACCACAGCTTAGAACCGCCACATGAGAACACACAGTACAGATGTACTTTTGTTGATCAGAACTAAAATGATGCTCATGTAACAAATCGCAGATTTCACAGTATCACAACTCCGGACGAGTTGCCGGTAACAAACACGTGGGCTAAATGAGAGAAACCGATCGAATTCATTCTGTTCCTGCGTGTTTAGCCAAAGATGTATGCCGCCATTAGTGATGAGGCAAACCGACGTGCTCAAGTGGCCAAAAATGAACCTGCCTGACTTCTAACTGTACTACTACTGAATATTAGCCCTATGTTGTCATACACTAATTAAATAAAACCCAGTAAGGTCTTGTGTATTTCATCATAATAACATGTGGAGTATTCTATATATTGAGTAAATTAGCATAACGTGTTAGCCTATTGTCCTGTAGCATCCTGCCATAATGTGCACCCAAAAAGGACCCACAGAGCACTGCTGACAAAGCAGACTCCCAGCAGGCATCTGGCACGCACAGCAGACGCACAAGTTTGTTTTGTGTCAACACAGAAGGGGGGGGGGGGGGGGGGGGGGGGCCGGGGGGTAGGAGGGAGGGTGGGGTTGGTGGGGGGGTGGTTGGTG